GACATTAAATTTGTTAATAGAAGTTGTTGACTAAATTACCTGAGTTTACATGAACGTTTCTACTCCAAGAGAACTTGTAGGTAAGCCACTGACTGTCTTTTATCATGTGACACATGGTAATCTAAGTATGTGTAAAGAGAATTTATATAAGTAGTCTTATCTGCATTGTCTTCTATGATAGCCACCAGTCAGAGAGCTACTGTCATATAAACAAATATAAAAGAATTCAAATTAAATAAAATTCAAGTCTTAGTTGCACTAGCCACATTTCAAGTGCTCAGAGGTGACTAATAACTTCTCTGACAATGTAGCAATGGAACATTTAAATCATTGCAGAAAGTTCAGTTGGACAGCAATGCTTTAGAGTCTAACATTGCTTCTTCTTTCTCCACAGAGTCAATACAAATTAATTTGGAAGCCAGTGCTGCATCTCTTAGGAATTTTTACTCAAATTCTCTCTCAGCTGGGGTCATGAATATCTTCAAACTATTACAAGCAAATATAACAGGTTTGCACCTGCTTTTGATTTTAGCTCTTGCCACTGTTTTAGAAACTTGGGCTTTTGAGTTTATAGGGAAGACACCCATCACATCTACACTGTAGGAGTATTTTTTGGAGGTTCAGGATATCTAGATGTAAATTATTCTTTGTTTGCAACTGTCTTTTCACCTTCCATTATCTGAAGGAAAGTGATATACAGTGTACTGGAAAGTATTCAAGATGACTGTTTTTTAAGAATAAGAAATAAGAGAACAAACTTACTTTTAGTTTTGAAACAGAATAAGATAAAGTTTACAGAACATAAACATTAATAAAGAAAGTAAGGATATATTTGCAAAAGCAAATTTAATTTTTTATACTTGCATTTTCATTTGATGTTGACTTAAATATTACCATTAGCCATTTGTTTTGGGAAAAATATGTGTGATATTTTTGTGCTAAACCAATTACCTTATGCACACTGAAGACAATGAATATATTTGGAAGAAATCACATAATAGAGAAAACTAATGGTCATATTATGGCTGAACTAAATCATGGCTTTCCAAGTATAGAAGTCTTCAGGAACTCAGATATAAAGGACACCAGCAGGTTTCATTTTTCAGCAGACACTGTTCTTTATCTATTGGAACACATTAGCTCTAACTTTATTTTCTTTTTCTCTTGTGTAACTGTCTATATTACTGGACTTTGGAATATGAGGTCCTTAAAGTACCTTGCCATTCACAGTATGCTCATGGTAGTCTACAATGAAGTGGATGGTTCTTAAACTACTCCATTGAACTGTCATGCCTAGCAACCTTCAAATTACAGTTACATTAGTTGTGTATTATTTCCTTCTTTTGAGTTTTCACAACTGAAGAGTCAGAGTCTTGCTGTTGTTGGCTACTTTAGAGAAAATATACGAAGTTTCAGTCAAAGTTTATGAAGCAGCATATGACTGTAAAGATTTTATTTTATTTTTTTTTAAAAAAAGATGGGGATCTTGCTAAGTTCCCTAGGCTGGTCTCAAACCCTTGGGTTCAAGCCATCCTCCTGCTTCAGCCTCCTGAGTAGCTAGTATTACAGATATATTAACCATGTCTGAGTGGGAAATTGGTTCTAAGCATAACATCTTGAGATACTTTTCTTATTGGAAGCAGATAACAAAATATACTCTCATTTTTCGCCATTTAAGTTTGTTTTTGTTTCTGTCTTGATGGTAAATCGTGATAGATTGGGTAATTGTCCCCAGGAATTCTTTTCAGACCAGTAAGTGGGCTCTAAGGAAATGGATTCGTTATTAGAATGTTTATATTCTTGCAGGGATTACCTTTAATTGGCAGAATTTTTCTTTCTGTCCTATAGTGAAATGGATTTTCAGAACTTGTAGATGTTGTGCTTTCCTTTCATTGTAGATGTGTTTCCTTTCATTCAGAAAGGAAATAGAATAAAAGCTATTGAGTGTTGCTTTCTAGTATCCTGAATTAAAACTCATAGAATTTCTATTTCACTTCTTCCCCATCAGACAATCAGTGTGATCCAAGTAAAACAAAGAAAATATTCAACTAAACTTGCAGGCTAGGTGTTTAACTATAAAACTCTTTTTTTTTTTTAAACTAGATGACTTTGTGATCCCTTTGGACCCCCGGTGGAATATACAGGCTTTGGACATTATTAGAAATTCAATGGACTATGATCCACAAACGGACCAGCCCAAGCAGCTCTTTTCCCTTTTAGAATCAGTTGCAAACAAGTAGGTGAAACCTCGGGCTCTGGACTCTGTTCATCTCACTGGTTCACATATTATACATTTCCTAAGACTCTGTCAAATGTAGCTGTATGTTTTATTTTGTCAATCTAATAAGTGATAAAAGTGCTAGAAATGAGTACCTACAATCTTAGCATTAATGGGATTTATTATTTTAAAGTAATCTTTCATCATAGGATAGCCATGTTTATATTTATAATTCTGTACAGCTCCTCCCTTTTTTGTCTACTTATTCTTTTACGTGTCCTTTCCTTAGCTGTCTGTCCACATTATTTCTCATACTCAGAAGTTGGAGATGTACATAGCACCTGCATATATATGTACATACTCACATGTAAACTTACATAATTATATTTAAACTGGTCTTTCCTTATTTTTATGGTAGCAGCCACAAGTATTTTTTACCATGTAATTTTTTGGCCAGTAGTTGGCCATCAGTGTAACAAAATTTTTTTAAAAGTGTAGTGTTCATTACAGGAAAGTACAGTACAAATTGTGATTTTGATGAGGATTCCCAAAGTGAACCCATGAGTGTGGTATGCTCTAGCACTTTGGAAGCCGCCTTTAACCAGTAATTATTGTGATTTTGAATCTTGTTCCAGGACAATTGTTTATCTTGACCGGGAAAAACGAATTTTTACTGAAACAAATTTGATTTCTGTTGGTGGCAAAAAGTTAAGAAATAGTGTTTTAAGAATGTCCTTTGAATTTCATAAAGGTAAGAACACTTTATCTTTTGTGTTGTTCAGTGGAGCATCTGATTGTATTATGTGGCTAATGTTGAAAGATATTGAGTAGCAACTGTTACTTTGATTATTTCTGATTTGTTGTCCTGATTTTAAACAGGCCATGTCCTCTTACTCAGTAGTAATGACTAACATTTACTAAGCACTCACTCTGTGCCAGGTGCTTAGCTAAAGACTTTACATGTCCTTGATCTCATTTACTTTCTATAGTAATCCTATGAAATAAGTAGGTCCTTACTTTATGAATGAGAAAAGAGAGGCATGGAGATGCTTTAGATCACATCTTTAGCAGTTGCACTAGGACTTGAAAAGTAGGCCTGTTGATTATAAAAGATCATATTCAGAGGCATTTGGTTATAAGATTACTTTTTTCCCTTCCGCCTTAACTTTTGTAAATAGAAAAAGCAATAACAATAATTTAAACTATGGTAGTGTAAAAATTGAAAAAGTTGATCCTTATAGCAGCTGCTATTAGTAGTAGATTCATTTGTACCTTTTCATACCTGTCTTAACTATCCATCTAAACCTATATACACTTGGTTTTGTTTTGTATTTAAATCCTTATATGAAATATGCATCTTTATAATTTCCATTTTCTGTTAAGACATTTATGAGATTAGGGATGTAGCTCAATAATAGAGCACTTGACTAATATATGTGAAACATGGGTTCAATCCCCAGCACCATTAAATAATATGAAATATAACATTATTTCTATCTTTAGGCATATATACCTCATCTGTTAAATTTAATAATAGGCACAGAATTTGCTTTTAATTTTTGACCTTTCCAAATTGATCTTTGGATTAGTAATAACATTAAATTCTAGATTACAATTTATTTTGAAAATGTCTAGAGATTAATTTAAACCTGATGGATTATTCTTATTTATGTCATCTCCAAGATCCAGAGAGCTATCACAGCCTGCCCCATGAAATTGTGGTCAATCTTGCTGCTTTTTTTGAACTTTGTGATGCAGTAATCCTGCTCTGGGTACAATCCCCCCAAGGTGTGGTGTCTGACGCCAATGTCTTTGAGGTGAGGCATTATATGTTTTAATTTTAAATAAGATTTGGATCAAGGACTTAGGAATACAACCAGAGACCCTGAGTCTAATAGAAGAAAAAGCAGGCCCTAATCTCCATCATGTGGGAGTAGGCCCTAACTTCCTTAAGACTCCTATGGTGCAAGAATTAAAATCAAGAATCAATAAATGGGATGGACTCAAACTAAAAAGGTTCTTCTCAGCAAAGGAAACAATCTGTGAGGTGAATAGAGAGCCTACATCTTGGGAGCAAATCTTTACCCCTCACACATCAGGTCACTAATCACTAGGGTATATAAAGAACTCAAAAAGCTAAACACCAAAAATCCAAATAACCCAATCAATAAATGGGCCAAGGAACTGAACAGACACCTCTCAGAAGGTGAGGTACACTCAATCAACAAATAATGAAAAAATGTTCATCAACAGCAATTAGAGAAATGCAAATCAAACCACTCTAAGATTATGTCACTCCAATCAGAATGGCAGCTATTGTGAAGACAAACAACAATAAGTGTTGGCAAGGATGTGGGGAAAAAGGTACACTCATACATTGCTGGTGAGACTGCAAATTGGTGTAGCCAATATGGAAAGCAGTATGGAAATTTCTTGGAAAATTGGGAATGGAACCACCATTTGACCCAGCTATCCCTCTCCTCAGTCTATACCCAAAGGACTTAAAAACAGCATACCACAGGGATACAGCCACATCAATGTTTATAGCAGCACAATTCACAATAGTTAAACTGTGGAACCAACCTAGATGCACTTCAAGAGATGAATGAATTAAAAAATTGTGGCATATATACACAATGGAATATTACTCAGCAATAAAAGAGAATAAAATCATGGCATTTGCAGGTAAATGGATGGAGTTAGAGAAGATAATGCTAAGTGAAGTTAGCCAATCCCAAAAAACCAAATGCCAAATGATTTCTTTGATATAAGGAGGCTGATTCATAGTGGGATAGGAAGAGGGAGCATGGGAGGAATAGACGAAATCTAGATAGGGCAGGGGAAGGGAGGGAGCATGGAGTTATTAATGATGGTAGAATGTGATGATCATTACAGATATGAAGACATGAATTGATGTGAATATACTGTGTATACAACCAGAGATATGAAAAATTGTGCTCTATATGTGTAATAAGAATTGTAGTATAATTTGCTATCTCATATAAATAAAATTTAAAAAATTAGTTATAGATAGACACAATATCTTTAAAAAAATTTTTTTAGTTGTACATGGACACAATAACTTTGTTTTATTTTATCTGATGCCAAAGATCGAACCCAGGGCCTTGCATGTGCTAGGCGAGCACTCTGCCACTAAGCCACAACTCCACCCCCAGACACAATATCTTTATTTTGTTTATTTTTATGTGGTGCTCAGGATGGAACCCCGTGCCTCACACCTCTCCACCACTGAGCTACAACCCCAGTCCAAACAGAGCTATTTTTGAAAATAAAAATTAGAAGAGTGGAACTGGTTGACATTTTTCCAAGTCTTTTTCTGACTGTCTTACGATAAGAAATCTGGGTTTTCACATCTGCTTCTGCATTCAATATCTTGTAGAATGTTGTTTGGGTTTAAGTTTGTAAAGAAAAACTGGCCTCCCATAGTTAAGAGCTTGGAAAGGGAAAGAATACTTTTAATATCTATTTCCTATAATAATGAACATTCTTGGATAGCACACCACAAATGAACAAAAAGTTTGTCATGGTCACTTACACTGTGACCATTTGAAACCTGAAAAATATATTTGCAGAACTTGTCATGCGTGATAATCCATTATTTAGTTTGCACTTTGGATTTGGATAACAAAACTCTGAGGAGGATAACACAAAGGCTAGTTTACATTTTTGCTGGCTCTGACATCAAAATTTATGAAGGTCATTAGAGCCTCAGAGAGGGTCGTTATCTGGCCAGGGAAGGCCAAGAT